CAACAAGATGTCATTTATGCTTATTACAACGCTCAATAAGATGCAATGCAGACTCAACAAAATGCCCCTCCTCCGGAATCTTACATATGACTTTATGCCTTTATGTTTTAGTCCTTATATTGATCTAGCCTCTTTGTATCTTTACCTTTCGTAAACTCATGCTTTCACTTGCCTATGTATGCAATATTCTATATTTTCAACTTTTTGATTAGGCTTCACGTGTTAACTTAAAGAGGAATCTTGTATTGTTTCTTATTTTTGTACTTCGATCTTAAATGCTATATCTTTTTTGCTTATAACAAAAGGGGGAAAAATAGGATATGATATGCTTGATGAGAATGTGATGATGATGGATATGATCAAAATGTTTGCCATGATAAACGTATGCTTTAAAGTGAGTGATTATTGGTTTGTAAAAGATAGGGGGAATATATGGATTGCATACAAAATTTAAGATTTACTTTCCTTATCAATTGTTCAATATTGCTTTGCAAGTCATTTTATTTGTCATAATCAAAAAGGGAAAAATTGTTGACCTATGGTTGATTAACCTTAAAGTTCTGATTATAACAAATAAGTTAATCTTGTTTACTAACAAGTTAAGTTCAAGTCATTATAGTTTTTCAAATCATACAATGGAAAATTTATCGATGGTTGTCAAAAGATCAAAAACTATCATCACAAATCAAAAAACTCATGAACGATGTTAAAATCGAAGTCACACATTCAAGAGCTTAAAAGTCAAACTTCAGAGCAAGATCAAAGATTTGATTTCTTCGGTAAAGTATAAAGGTACTAACACTTTGATATTTGACAATAAATGCCTAAGATCAAAATTTTTCTATGCATTAAAAATAATTTTTGTGCATTAAAATTCATTTTAATCCAATGTTTTGATCAAATATAAAAATGACTTTTAAAATGATATTTGAATTTGAAAATATCTTTTTATCTTAAGCAGTTAGTTAAAAATACTTTCGAAAAATTCATGCTTTTCAAAACCTTCAAATTGGATCAAATAGGGCCAAAACGTAAAAAGACCAAAACTGTCAGGCAGTTGGCCAACTGGAAGAGAAGGTCGATTGGAGGCAGTTGACCGGCGAGAAGAGGTGGTCGACTAGAAGTTCCAAGGGTCCAAAATTTAACCGTTCTGACCTTTGATTTTTATTGAACAAACGACTATATTAATCATCCGGACAAAAGGCAGTTGACTGGAGTAGTCATTCGAATTTACAGATTTTTTGGCGTTTTGAACTCTATAACATTCATTACAATATTTCTCAACATTAAAGTGAGAAATATTTTGAGCGAAACTCTTTAAGATTACATCTTACTTAATTCTTTAAATATTAAATGTGAAAAGTTTTAATTGATTGAATCAACTTTTGAAAATTATATTTTTCATCAAAGTTTTCTTATCTAACACTTTAGCTTTATTCATTGTTATTATTCAAGTGCTAGCCTATTTTTCTCTTTGTACTTAATTTATGTATATTACTTATTGAGAGAGAAGTTTTAAATTATAAAATCATTACTCTTTAAATGTGTGGATCATATTGAGGTCCTGTAAAGCTCAATGTGTATAGCGATCTGGCCTTCATTTTTCTTTGTTTCGAATTGGATCAATCCAAAATTTAGCTTATTCTTAAGAGTCTAGCATCTTTGAATTTTCTATTCGGACTCTCCCCAATCTGTATTTTCCATAAATTAAGCTCATGTTGGCCCCTTTTTCTTTCAATTTATTTCTCTTGTTTTCAACCACACAATCTTCTATAAAATAATATTATACGTAACTTGAAAACTTTATTTCCTTTTCAACCACTTATTCTCCCAAAAAAAATTATTCCAAATTTTAAAATTTGAAAGAAAAGGGGCCAAACGAGGGCTAAGAATGAATGAATGTTCAAATCTTGTCCATTATAATTGGAATTGGATATTGGCTAATTGCAAATATATTCCAGTTTTTTACAACTATTGCAAAAAAATAAAAATAAAAAACATCATGGTGGAAACAATTTCTGAGAATAAATCGAAAACATAGTAATATGCGCGATCGTGTTTAATAAATGATCTCGCTATCACGATCGTTGACATTCGACAGTTAACAGTTGCCCTCGTTGGATCCGATTCCTAGATTCCCACTGAATGCAAGCTTGCTCACTAATTGAAGTAGTCTTGATACTCGAAAATTTAATCCTTTGGAGAAAGCCTTTTATGATTGCTTTTTGTAGAGACACCTTTCACAAAGTTGATTTGAATGACGAATATGTGGTAACCCCTTCACCATATTTCTCTTTGCGAAGAGGTTCAGACTATCAAAATTTAGATGACCAAACTCAAATGCCATAGCTATAGCCATGTTGAATCTTTGGCACGTGCCTTCAAACACTTCACCTCTTCACTTTGAATATTCAACATGAACATGCGATTCTTCATCATTAGAACTCTAGCAATCAAGTTTCCATTACGAACTCATAACGTAATATGTCAATTTTGCGTTAGCATATCATAGTACTCTTTTTCCAAAAATTGGCCCAAACTCTAAATATTTATCTTCGTAGAAGTAACATGATATACATTGGAAATATATTGGCATTCTCTGCTCTTCAACTTGATCAGAATTTTACCTTTACCCTTGACTTGGACCTTCGAATCATCTCCAAATGTAACATTACCATTTAGTCTACTAGTTCTATGAAGATAGGTTTGTATTGACACATGATAACTTGTTCCAGTATTTAAGTACCAAAAATTGTTGCCTCCTTCTTATACTTTGTACTTCCTTTGTCTTTATTTTCAACGTAATTGGATTGCTCCTCCACGTTATTATTCCTACACTCCTATAAGAAATGACCAAGTTTATGACAAATGTAACATTTGATAAGAGATTTAACCATATCTCCCACCATGACATTTTCTTCTTCATACTCTTTGAGATTTATGTGTTCATCGCTCTCTTGAATCATACGAGTATTGATAATTCCCTTCATTATTGAATGAATATTGATAATTTCTATCTCCTCTTCCACAACCTCTTCCACATCATTTACCTCTTTTGTTCCTATTAGTCAAATTTCAACGTACATTACTCGTTATTCTAAAATACTTTATAAGTGACGTAAAAGTAATATTTGGTACCAATTTGTTAATGAATTTGATGAATCTCGGACGAATTCAAAAAAATTAAATTCAGCATCAAAATTTAAGAGAAGAAAACTGTACTCTCAAAACTCAATTTCTATGATTCAAATTTTTTGTAATAATGAAATAATATAAATTAGCAATCTTTTTATATTACATTTGATAAATAAAAATTAATTGTTAATACATAAATTTAAACACCCATTAAAATTTTTAAGTACATGAATATGAATATATTTATCTATAATAACTCTAGATTCATTTAATTCAAGATTCATCAAGTGAAAATTCATTGAATCTAGGTTAATGTGAATATAGTTAATTGGGAATTAATAACACAAATTTCATAAATGACAATAATTATATAGTGTTTATTATATATCGAAAAATGAAAAAGTAAGGTATTATGGAAATAATTGAATTGTAGGAGAGTTAAAATCGTTCAAAAAATGATTCTCTATTTATGCGATATTTTAATATATTATAGATATACTTTTTTTTCTCTTCTTGGTCTTTTAAATAAATAATTGTTCCACCAGTTCTTTATTCTTTTTCAACTTCTTCTCCTTATAAACTTGTAGTGTGTCAATGACTTCATCAATGGTTAATTCTTCCAAATCTTTTGATTCTTTGATTGCAACCACAATAAAATTGATTTTTTTTCATGTAAAGATCGAATAAATTTTTTAATTACTTGAAGATCATCACCATACCTTTCCTTCTCATTAATACCAATACTCACAAAGAATGATCTAAAACTGATCCAGATCCCTTTATCGATAGGGCTTCATGTTCTCTCGAAGATTAAAGACACTTTTTAACTTTTCTATACCTTTATATGTATTTTGAAGAATCTACCATGCTTGCTTTGAAGTGGTAGCATTTGACAGTCATTGAAAAATTGTATTATCAAGAGCTTGATGAATCGTGTTAAGAGCCTTTCGATCCTTTCTCTTAGTTACAAGCCTTCTTCATTTCGAGGTTCGAAATCTCTCCACCAACTCCCACAATCTTGACATCCAAGATATGCTGTCGTACGAATACACCATGTATTATAGTTATCATTAATGAGACTACAAATGGAAAGAGAATTGTTCTTTGTCATTTCTTCTTTTCATACTCTTATAACCTCACTCTTATACCACTTTGTTTGAAAACTTGGAGATACAACAACTTTTAAATGAGGAGAATATAATAGTGAAGAGAGCACTTACTTTATATAACACCAAAGAGAACACTCACTTTATATAACACTGAAAAACGACTTGTAGAAAATGAGTACAATCACAGGCATTATAAGATTCACAAAATATGAATTTCATCCAATAAATATACTACATATTAAATGCAACTACTCCCCAATGTAATTATTTTATTTTCCACATGCATGAATAAATTAGTGCATTAATGTATGTATGATTAATCTCAAAAGACATGAATGAACTTGACTAAATAAATGATGAACTTAAATAAATGAAGTATATATTTTCAACAATTTGAACCCATCGAAGCAATCGCCAATATCGCAGAACAATTCCATGACTTATTATATGATTAATCTATGTATTTTCTGGATCCTTCATTTATTATTTTATGTCCTTGTACATTATATTTCTTTCACTTTACAATACTTTCCTCAAGCAAAAGTATCCATGAATAGATGACTTATCCGGTATAAATAGAGGTGAAACACAATCAATAAAGGTTTCCATGTATAGCTCACTACTCGTAGTTCCTAGCATTCTATCAATGTGTTCTTAACGATTATTCTTTTTCTTGTTATGGTAAAAACTTCAGACATATGATGTATATATATATAAAAGTATAAACCAAACTTTTAAGAGGTCCAGAAAAGTTTTTATTGGAGAAATTCTAGTAACAGGTAATAAATTGTGTTGGAAAGTTATCTAAATTAACAAAATATAAACATTCATATAGAATCTTGATTCACCGCGGTGAGCTGAGACAGAAAAAGTTCAAGAAGAGCTCGTTCTCTGGGCTGAGTGGCAGGAAAAGGATCATTCCCTGCAAAAATTGATGTGTTTCAAGATTATCATATTACTCAAATGGAGCCTCGAAAGACACAATAAAAAACCAATTCTCTTTCCCAGTAAGTCCACTACGTGTATCTTTTTCATGAATCCATTGATAATTTCATAGCTAGATTTTAAAGACCCAATAATTTTAAATGAAATACAGTTCAGTTTTTGTACATGCTGCATTAGAATTCTTAGCATCTACTTAAGCCATCGATTGAATAATTTTTTAAGTTTAGTCAAAGTTTAATTTATTATTCAATCGCACATTCATAATTACTAATTATTATTATTCCTCTTATTATTTATATTTATAAACATTTATAAATTTGCGAAATGAAGGCTGTCATTGGATACTCTTGTGAAGCCGAAAATCGAACTAGTATACGCTAAATTATATCAGATGTGCACATAGCCTAGCATTTCAACTTTCTTTGATTTTATTTTCCTTTACTAAGCTTTGGACAGCAATATTTCATGTAACAAGAAAATCAGGAATAAATTACCTGTTGGATATAAATCTGTCCATGGAGAAAGATTGACATCAATTCCTTGCCCAAAATCTGGTCGTTGTGTGTCATCTTCAATCCTCCTGCCTGAACTTAAATGACTATGGACATGTACGCTTGAAGCATGAAGGTCAGTTAAGGATGGCGACTGGATATTGTCCATACCTTGATGTTGGTCTCTGCAATATATGCACATATATAGAAAATTCAACATATGTATTGTGGGGAATAACACCAAGCCCTTGTTTGGGCTCCATTTTAATGAAATTATGGAAAAAAGGTAATTTAGAACAGTAATTTTATTCAGAATATATATTTAAAAAGTGAGGAAAAGTTTTGGATTTTTTGGTTTACGTAATATTATTTTACTAAATAATGTGTAGTTGAAAATAAGCTTTTAAAAAATGTATTTTGGATTTAATGGAGACCAAACAAGGGCCAAATAAGATGCAATTATAACATGAACTATGGTATATATAACACCTCACTGGAAGCAGGCCATTTGAATCCAAGAAATTCAGGATTTGGACTTGTGGATCTCTCTGTGGAAGCCAATCCATGATATTGTTGGCACTTGTTGTTGCCAAATCAGTTAGGTTTATGTTCTCTGGGGGCAAATTCATCTGAGATGGGATAGTAGACTATCTTGTAAGTTATAACTTTCCTACCTTTGTCCCATTTTATAGTCATTCAACTCTTCTCAAAAGCAATATTCAAAATTTAATATACCTGTGTAGTTGTTTGTGCACCAGGGGAATTATATTGGTCCTGCAGAACTTGCTGGCCATGTAAAAGTTTCATAAGCTTCAGCAATATATTAAGTTTATATTTCCAATATTACTTTTCTAAAAAAGAGAAAAGATGTATACTAAATCACTAGTGCATGTTGGATATGCTATACTAGAATGGTTTGTTGAACTAGGATTTTAGTTTCTTTTTGTTTGTTGAGTCTACTGAACCAAACACGGCAACTAGAAAAATTTAGGGTGAGGAAGCTTGCCTTTCGCATCCTGATCTGCTTCAAGTTTACCTCAAGAATTTGTTCCCGGTACTCAGCCTCAAACAGCGTAGTGATATCGGACGAATTACCTTCATAAATCCTACAAAAATATAAATTTATGATGATTATTTTTCTTAATTCCACAATCCAAGTTTAAATGTCGAAGACTAAGGTTTTCTGATCAATGAGTGGTTTCTAAGTTAAGATATACCTCAGTTTTTTCTCCATATCCTCAAGTTGGCACCTACATTTAAAAATTTCTTGTTGCATTTCCTGTAATAAGTTCATGATTATTGATCGATTGAGACGCCAATCAATATCAATCTTCCCAATTATATTGTATATTGAAGGAATATATTCTTAACATTCCGAAATATACCTCAAGTTGACAATCGACACTTGCTGGACTGCTACACATAATAGGATCAAGAAAACAAAACTAGTCATAACTTAATTATGAAAAATCTGCAAACTTCCAAATTTACATTTCATAGAAAGAACGTGCAAAAATCTGGCATAAGACAGAAAATCAGAAAAATTGACATTGGTGGGGTGGGGTGGAGTAGGGTATATAAACCTGGTGGCTGGTTGATAGGTTCGATCTGCTTCAGATTTGAACTTGCCAAGAGCCCTTTGCAGATACTGATAATAAGTTAATTAATCAGTATCATTTCAAGATTATTAAACCAGAAATTTCCAAGATCAGAATGGAACAGACAAAACATCCACAGATTTAATCAGAATTACTCAAAATCTCTTTGTCATATTACCTCTTGGTTTTGTAGCCTTTTGTAATTGCATGGAAATACAAACAGAAAATCGTCAGTAGCCACACATAAAAGAAGATAAATTTAAACCAGAAAATTGAGAGTTGATCCTTACTTTCCTCGTTCGTGCTCGGGAAGATTCACATATCGCGTCATGATTTCTTCCATGCTTCAAACAGAAAAAAGAGAAAAAGATTTAACCTATTAATAACAAAAAACAGAAGATTAATCACAAGAAATGTATCAAATTATCACCTTCTGTTTCCTGAGAATACATTAACTCTTCCAGAAGGAGAAAACATGATAAGAGCAACATCAACATCACAAAGTACAGAAAGTTCATAAGCTTTCTTGATTAATCCATTTCTTCTCTTTGAGAAAGTGACCTGCCTGTTTGTTGTATTTTCAATCTTCTTGATCTGAAGTTTTACTCTCCCCATGTCGAAATAAATATCTGATCGATCAAATATACTTATATGTGTATCTTTCAGATGAAAGCCCCACAATCTTTCTGGAAGGATATTAAATATAGAACTATTTATATATTAGATGAATCTGATATTCTCTCAGAGAATCACCAAGAAAGAAAAGAAAATCAGTATTTCCGGGAGAAGATAGAATAAAAAAAATAAAGGGATGCTGATCAAGAAAAGGAAGAAGGGATCACATGGAAGGAGAAGAAGATTGACAATAGGGTTTTGGCACTGTCAGGCCATCGATGACGAGAGAGTGAGAAATATTACTGGCGGTGTATGTATCTTTCTTGGCAACTACTTGAAAAGACTGATCATATACGGTTGCTAAGAAATAATTCGGCGCTGTATTAATATTCTCGTGTTTGCTTACATATCCTAAAATTTACTAGGTTCAGTTTATGCACTTGAACAATCAATTTCATGGGAATTCGAGCATTCAGACACTTCCTGATTTCATATGCGATCATATTATGAGTCTTTTGATTCCTATTTTTCTTAAAATATTTTGAAATAATATTTTAAAGGAGAATGTGTGATTAAAAAAATAAAATATATTTTCTTGTAATATTATTTTAGTGAAAAATATGTGATTGAAAATGAAAGAAAAAACATATTTTAAAAACAATGGGAACCAAATAAGGGCTATATAAGTCCTCCTGTTTGATTGAAAATTTTTGAACAAATTTTTGAATACTAAATTTTCGGAGAACCCATGGATAAAAAGTTGAAAAAAACTTATTTTTACGTGAAAAATATTAACTATGAGAATGTATCATTAAAAATGAGTATGATAAAATAATAATAATAATAATAATAATAATAATAAAAAAAGAGAGTTTTGCAAAAATGATTACCAAACACAGGCATAAATGGAGAAGTTTTGTAAGAAATTTGAGTGATGGAAAGATTCTTATTAGGACCTTGTTACATGAATATTGGGGGCTACATAAGGGTGTCCATAATGGACACTCGGCGCCTCTCCATTGGCCGAGGCGCCTGTTGCGTAGGGGCCCACAGGCGCCTCGACCAATGGAGAGGTGTCGGGTGTCCATTATGGACACCCGGATGTAGCCTCCAATGTATAACAAGCATAATCCTTCTTATTATGTTAAATGTCAACTAAAATGTAACTATAAAAGTTCAGTCAACTATTAATTTCAATAACATATTTCAAGAACTTAAAGCTTTTTAATCATATGTTTTATCAATTTCTATAAAATTCAATTAAAATTTTGATTTTAACCTTCATCAAACAAGGGTTAAATCTATAGGATTTTGCTATCCTTTTATGATGGTTGAATGGTAAAACGACAAAATCCTCATGAAATGAAAGCGTGAAAGAAATTCGGTTTCAAATTAATTAAGAAAAAGATTGCTTTATTGTTAAACAAGTTAGGAATTTAATTAATTCCATTAAAACCATTTTTATATAAGATTAGTGTACACCAAGAAAACCTAATTAAATATAAATAAATGAGGCAACACTCTCATTTTAAAAATAGGCATCAGGATTAAGATTTTGGAGATCCCAACTAATTTGCAGGCTTAAATCATCTCCAATGATTGTGTTAAAAAGATTTAAATTGTGATTAAAACTCCAAAGTGGTTGAAAACTTCTTCAATAGAGAGATGCAAAAGAAATTCAAATCGTATTTTTTGGTAAAAAAAAAAAAAAAAAGGAGTGAAAGGAAAATTTAGAATTTAGATCCACCTAAATATATATAAGAATGCAAAGATAGTTTTGAAGATATCAATTTTATATCAGTATTGGAGATATTTTTAATTTTAGTTTTGGATTTTTATGGTGGGGGTGCTGTTGGTGGGATACGGTGAAAGGGTTCTTGCACGTCTATCGTAACAAAAAAGCTGGCGAAAATGGACAATTTAGAAACAATTTATCTTTTCAACAAATAAATTTTTGTCTTCTCAAATATTGTCAATCAATATTGTACATATAGATTAATCCATGTCTACAATGCAGTTTCTCTTGATTTCTTCGAAAACCTTAAACTCTGCTCATACTCCCACGAAACCCCTGGACGTGTGACTTCCTCAGTTAGTCTTATTTCTCTACGCCCATTGTTTTCCTCATTCTATGGTTTTTTTTTTCCATATTTTTTATTTTATTTTATTTTTGTTCCAATATATGTAATCGTCACTTTTCCTTTTTCTTTTTCTTCCTCGCAAGAATGTCACGAAGTAACGCATAAAAATTTTGCAAAAAATCAGTGTTTCACGTTGGATACGTCTTAATGTTGAAGCTTCTTGAATATAGTTATTAGATTCCACCAGTCAACACATTACTAGTTGGAAAATGTCATTTGTACAATATTTTCTTATAACATTGTTGATAATGTTGGTAGGTCGCAAAAAAATGTTGGATGGAAAGATAAATTGTTTTTTAAACTGTTCAATGACAATGTATCACGTGACATGTTGTCAAAAACATTGTACACCAAGTGTAATTCTTATAGCTTAGGTGACATGTCAACATCAAATCAAAAATCAAGAAAAAAAAATTCAAAATATAATTGAGGCATAAATGATAAATATTACCATAAATCTATTTAAAAGTTAAAGTGGATCCTAATTTAAAAAGTTCATTTAGTGATTACAATATTAAAAGTTCTCAAATTTTATCTATTTCAAAAATCAAATTTGTACACATTTATTCCAAAGTTCTCAAATTTGACTCTAACAGTTATATCCCGCTTAATAATTAATATTCTATACATTTATCTCATAATATCCCATTCCTCTATCCTTTGTATCCCTTTTCCATCTAGAATTATATTCATTGTCGAAATCAATTTGTCAATATCAATTATACTACTTATATCCTCTAAATTTATATTATTTATCAAAAGAACTTATTTCACATTATAGTTTTATTTTTAGTATATATAAACATAATATATAAAAAAATTCATAATGTGAAAATTACGTTTGATATTTTAATTAATTGGTTTCTAAGTCATGAATAAATAGAAAATTACTTTTAAAGGATAATCTCACATGCTATAGAAGTTATTATTTATCATTATATAATATAATGGAAACAACCCGGTGAAAAGAAGGCGTCCCCTTACCAGCTTTGAAGTCTGAAATTCGAAGCATAAAGCACACTCACATTTTGTTAATTTCCAAAGAACTATCTGGTCATTTCGAACCGATTCACCTGTTTTTAATAAAATCCAACCAGTTCAAACTCATGCCATGAGTGGTTCTATTGCTTATAGGTCCAAGTATATTAACTGAATTAGGTTAGTGTTCTCTTAACAAGTTTTCGTTGGGACTGATCGGTTCGATCTAAGTTTAATAAGTATATCTTGAAATTTCAGAAAAAAATTAAAACGTGAAAATGAAGCGTTCTTGAGCTTTGCGATGTTGGAAAAATAATTTGCAGTTATATAATCGAGTTATTCTATGTTGCAAGTTGTTTACTGTCTCTCTTTCGAGATACTTATGTATTGTTGTGATATATGTTTATCCAAGTTTATTCATGTCACTTTTAGATTCATATAAATGTATACACGTATCACCTTTAATGGAATTATCAATTATACAATAAGGTTCGATAAGTGTTTAGATTCGGTACATGCGATCATACGATAATCTTCAAGTGCACGGTATCGTGAACAAGTAATATAATGATAAGTAGAGTATCTTTCTCACGAAGACTCTATACGTAACCTAGGATCAATTAATGTTAACCTCATCGAATAGCCAGATGTGTTTGAAGAATTAATACTAGTAAAATAATTAAACTAATTATTCTAATGATCAAATTATGAATCTTCTGTAAATTTAAATAAGATGATTACAAAGAGTTCGAACCCCCTTCTTAATCTATTTTAATATAATTCAATATCATGACAATATGTATGCATTTTTGTTGATCAATATTCCTAAATTATTCAATAATCTCTCTTGAATATAATTAAATTTATCATCTCATGTGACCTTTTTATATCTCTATGAAAGATACAAGCATGAAAAGATGCATTAAAAATATTAGAACATCTATTAAAATTATGCAAAGTATAGAGGTATATCTCTATCCCATATAGGACCTCACAATAGTGTCTATAAGTGCAATCTATTTTATTGTCTCCCTAGATAATAATAAAACTCATAAATCAATCCAATTAATAATTAAGTAATCAAAAAACCTTAAACACAATAACAATAATCTAAGAATAAATATATATTGGATGCCAAAATATTGAATTTAGATTAAAAACTTCATATCAATGGTTCATTTATGTCTTAATAAATGGAAATCTAGCATAACATTACAAAATTAAAAGAAATCATATTTAATTTGAAGAATATCTCCTAGATTATTGGTAAACTCAAAAGAAGAAAAATCTTGACTCTCTTCAATGATTTCTATATTGATCTTTAATTGCATTTTCTCTTCTTTGTCCAAAAATCAAGGTTGGATCTTCAAAGGATATTGAACTCTTGTAATGCCTATTAATTCTCTCAAAAGAATGATGATTTTGCCTTTCTTTGATTGCAATAATTGATGTTTAATATGAAAGAGGTCCCTTGAATGTTTGCCCACATTCTTGATTTATAGAAGGTCAAAAAGCACATCCGAATTGGATTCCAAAAAAGTTCCAATTAAAATAGGAAAGTTACATTCATTTCGTGCATTGTTATGTTTCTGTGTAGTTGTCAATATTTTTGTCATATCTTCCTCTTTCAATAATGGATTGAGACGATTTAAAGTGAGTTGGAAAGCTAACTCAAATTGTTACAATTATTTTAGAAATATTAATTTTCCAAGGGTGAATTATATTACCACCACAATAAGTGTTTGACACACCACAAATTTTGTATTTACTTAAACAACCATGAGTAAAATGACATCAATATCCTATCTATTATTGAGTTATATATCTATTAATTTCATTACCTTCATTCATACACCACAGAAATATATAAATCCTACTTAAATAAACATGCAATAATTCATACATCAAAAGATTCAAAGGTTCATACCATATTGGTGGTTATATTACCATCACTCTAGTGTTTTACCCTAGAGTTACAACATGTAAAACTGTATAAAAATTTGAAATTCTATAACCACATAAAAAGAGAATCAAAGGC